GAAACCCGCATCCCGCACCTACCTCATCTACTTCGTAACCGGCAACCCAGGCCTCGTAGAATACTACCGCACCTTCCTCACCCACCTCTACGGCGTACTAACCCACAACACCGCCTCGGACCGGTCCATAGAATTCCAAGTCTACGGCCGCAGTCTCTCCGGGTTTGAAATGAACGACGCTGAGATCAAGACGATGAAATGGCGGAAACAGCCGCCGTATGGGTTGCAGGACCAAATTAGGCATTCGGAAGATGAACTTGCGGAACTTGTGGAGGAGGTGAAGGAGTCGGGGGGTGCGAGGGATGTTAGGGTGGTTTTGGTGGGGCATAGTGTGGGGAGTTATATCTGTTTGGAGATTATTAGGAGGTTGAGGGCGCATGGGATGGTGGGGGAGGATTTTGAGACGAGGGTTGTTGGGGCGGTGGGGCTGTTTCCGACGGTGGTGGATATTGCGAGGAGTGAGAGTGGGATGAAGGCTTCGGTGAGTACATCTTTCTGTTCTTTTGTTGGGCATTTCGGACGTTTTTGGGATGCGTCCTGCGATGGCCTAGAGATGACGGAGCAGACACAACTTCCGCAACTCATACGACCCATGCGCAAGGAGGTGTTCTCTAATGAGAGGTATCGCAACTTCTAGAAGCTTGGGATGCGTCTCGCTATTTGTTGAAACATGGCCCGACTGTTTTGACGGACACGTCCTCATAATTGTCTTCCCGGCATATGCTAACAGTATTGTGTAGCCCTTCCTGAAGAACTCCAATTTTGCGACCTTCGCAGCCCTCTTCGTCAACTTCCTAACCATGTTTCTGCCCATTTCTCTCCTCACAACTCTAATCGCAAAATTCATGGACTTCCCTACCGACGCCGCGCAAACCACCGCCGCCTTCGTCAAGTCCCCCCACGGCATCCACGAAGCACTCCACATGGCTCGCGACGAGATGTTCCAAATTGACACCGACATCTGGGACGAGGAGATCTGGGGCGCCGCCGCTTCAGAGCCCGCAACCAAGCATCCGCACCCGCGGCCCATCTTGCGCTTCTTGTTCGCGCGAAAAGATCACTGGGTTGCGGATGCGACGAGGGATGCGCTTATCCATACCCGTGGAAGGTTCAGCCGTGGAGATGGCGTAGAGGAGGTGGAGGGCCAGGGCGAGAACTGGAAACCCGTTATGGAGATTGATGAGAGGGAAGGGTGGCCGCATGGGTTTTGTATTCGCCACGGGGTGCCGGTGGCGGAGAAGGTGGCGGGGTATGTTCGGGCGATTGTGGCGCAGGATATGGCGAGGAAGTAGCGACTCTTATTGGTGGGTTTCACGAAGCATCTCACAGCATGGGGTATATGTACAGGGGCACATCAGATGGTCGCGAGACCAAAGAAAAACATAATCTCTATGTTGCAGTAGATCTGACTAATATTCCACGCAGGGTACCTGGGATTCACGGAGATGCTGGTGTCATACTTTTTTCTTATCAAGACATAGTGTTGTGTATGCAGCAATGCGGCACAGCCCCTGTCATCATGGGTAGCAATGCATGGTTGCAAATATCATGCACGAGATCGGAAGTCATCTTCCCCGCTTTCAGCCTGTTCATTCTCAATCTCTTCTCACTCCCCAGCCTTACCGTTCACACCCTTCGCTCGTCCTTCATTTTCCCAATCGACGTCTCCCTCCGATACCAAAGATCACTTCAACACCCTTCGCCGGCCACGCCAGCGAAGCCTTCACAATGACACGCAAACCCCACAAAACCCCGCCTCCTCAGCCATACCAATATAACGAGCTGCCTCGTGATGGATCTTTCCGCTACATCGTTCTACACCGAGGCACCGGAAAAGACCCTCTCAAATGCAGTCTACAGACAGCGCCCTTGGCCAAGACAACATTCGAGGCTATATCCTATGTCTGGGGCAAAAGCAAGAAGAACAAGAAGATCATCTGCGACGGTCGCGTGATCAGAATCACCAAGAGTCTTTCCAATGTGCTGCGGCGACTTCGACTCCCTCATAAAAGGCGTAAGCTATGGGCTGATGGCATTTGCATCAATCAAGATGATTTGGAAGAGAAGGGGCACCAGGTAGCCATTATGGGGGATATATACCGGTCGGCGAAGTGTGTCTTGATCTACATTGGACCCGAGGACTATGGCGATGGACCACTGGCGTGCTCTTTAGTAGATGACGTCTATCAGCTGATCGACTTGACTTGCAAAGACATCAATATGGAGCCGGATGCCTTTCCTCAACTCAGGCGTGATGCTTCCTTGCTGTCTGACTCTCGCTGGAATGCTCTATTCAACCTGTTCCGTCAAAGCTGGTTTAAGCGTGGCTGGGTTGTCAGAGAAGCAGCAGTCGCGCAGTACGGTTTAGTCATCTGGCACAATAGTGTATTCAGCTGGGAAAAGCTGATACGAATATCCCTATGGTTGCAAATGCGTGGGAGCCAAGTTCGCGATAATTTCGACTTCTCGTCAGGGACCATGATGTCCCATATGCAGGCTTCCAGACAGAGAGAGGAGGCTTTTGTTGCAACTTTAGCTGATGGAGACTTATGGCCGGCGCAGTCTCTGCTATCACAGCTCAACTCTGGAAAAATTCTGCAGCTATCAGACGCTCGCGATAGAATATACGCTTTCATGGAACTGTCTGACAGCATCGAGCGTCCGGTTGCTATGAAACCTGACTATCACCTATCACCTCTACAGGTGTACCATCAATTCGCAATAAGGTACATCCAAGAAACAAAGGATATTCAGATACTGGATTATATCTGTCACCAATATTACAGGGAATTCCTTGAAACACCGTCATGGGTACCACGCTGGGATGTTTCAAGCTGGTCGATTCCGAGAATGGGTGCTTCACGCTGGCCTCCTGCTAGTGCTCGTGACGGATCCATCTGTGAACCCAAAATCATAGATGATTACATCCTTTCCGCAAAAGGTGTTATTTTCGATAGTGTTCTGTATGTTTCAGACATCTTCCAAGGAGAAGAAGAGGATCAGCAGGAAATGTTCAGTGAGGCCTGGGCCTTTGTTTCTCAGACGCTCAACACTTCGCCTTACGGGACTCGTCGCAGTTTGGATGCCTTCATAGATTGTTTTGCCTGCGGTATGATCTATGGAAATCCTTTTCATTACCATCAGTCTAGGGCTACAATGATTACATATCGCAAGACCCACGGAATGTATGGCAGGACGCCATCGGCCGACCCCCCACACGACGATGAACTAGCATCTCATGAAAGGGTCGTTTGGCATAGCTTGAAGAACGTCATTGCCAACAGGCGATTCATCTCTACCAGGCGCGGATACTGGGGTATGGCTCCTGATGTTACCAGGGAAGACGATTTATGCGCAATCATCTTTGGTTGCGAAATGCCCTGCATCTTGCAACAGACTAGTCGAAAGCAGCATTACGAATATGTCGGGGCGACATGGCTATTGGGCTCACAGTCAATTTCGTGGGAGGGTTATGGCGACTTCATTTTTAATTATCCATTGGGTTCTGACGGGAGCAAGGAGTGGGTAGATTGGGACGTCGAAGAACAAGACATCCACCTGGTGTGAAGTAGAAGACTCCATGCTACCAGCTCGCAAAACTTTGAGATGCACAAACGCTCGCCTGCCCGCTACAACCAATGCACGTCTTGAGCGACACACTCACGTCATCGGTATTAGCGATAACAATACCAATCCTCCTGGACATACGTCTTCCCCTTCCACCCTGTGGTATGTTGCCATCTAAAAGCATTCTCCGGTGAACCAACAACGGGATCCACCCTATTCCGCTCAACGTCGCCTCCGCTTTGTGCCCCGTAGTAGCGAAAGTAATTGCCCTTACAGGCTGCCGCAAGCTTTCAGAGATTCAACACCCGGATATGTGTATCTATCATGGTTAGGTGCGTGTCCGCTGTTCAAGAGAAGGCAAGCTGGAATGCAGTTCGGGACTTCGACTGCGTTTTGACAATATTAATTTCGTTGCTATGCTTATATTGCTCCATTCGTGCAGCTGAATCCATGGTATTGGTTTGGTCGAAGGATGCGATGCGAGATATGGGGCTGGCATACGCTGATAAGATAGTGTGATTGAAACATGAAAAGAGTTTAAGCAGCGATCGTAAGAAGGATTCTAGAGATTATCAGGCAACACAGAGACAGATAAGGTTCAGTTTGGGAACCTACACCGTTCTGCGCTGTTGTGACGAATACCGGGCATAGCTATTACACGAATCACGCCTACTGGAACGCATCTTCTAGGTTGCAAAAAGCACGACACCGCCGCCTGCGATTCTTTCTGCCGTGTTGCTACCATGACACTAGGTTTTGGAAACGATCAGGCTCATTTTGCGAGGACGGCTGATGCTGTGGCTTGTCGTATGTCTGCGTTGTCTGCGTTGTCTGCGTTGGCTGTGCTTGGTATGAAGCGTGACAGCTGTTGTGACTTGCGATGGTGCCCGTGGGGCGTGTGAAGTGGTGGGAGGAGAAGGTGTAGGCTAGGCGTGATTGTTGGAGGGGATGAGATTCCATCAGGTTTTTGCCTCTAGTTATATGTGAAGGAAGATGCGAAATCACCCATATGAACCTTTCATGATTCGGTCATAAAACTGAGGGGAACGGGTGAAAGTGTAAGGGTTCAAAGACTGAGATAAGCGAACTCTTGTCTAGATGGCGTCGGGATGTTGTGTGAATGATTTGGATGGTGAAACCAGGTGATAGGAAAGAGAAGAGACTGCCTCGGCGAAGACTGATTGAATTGAGATCTAGACGCTGTAGGGTGGCTCGACCCTGAGTGATCGATAATGCTTTGCTTAAAGAAATGCCTGAGATGTGCCGAAATGACAGGAGGATGATGACTCGCTAAGATGCATCCAATTAGGATATATGACGTAAGAGATCAGAAAGAGATGGGATCTTGACAGCGACTTCTAGAATGGAAGAAAGGGTAGCTTGAGGGACTTGGGAAAGTGCGACGGACTGGTCGCGGCGGGTTTGGCAGCTGCTCAACCCAAGCACAACAGATGCGGGCTCAATGCGATGGTGCTAGACTTGGGACTCAGCATTTCGTCCCACCATCCGTCGTCGCGCTGGCATGCCGCATCCTGATTTGCAAGCCAGGTACGCATACCGCTGATACGCCTGAGCACGGGTGGGAGTGTGTTCTTGTCGCCCTCTCGTATTGGTACGACGCGCTGGTATAGGCGGTCGCGTTTGTCTGAGTTTGCAGTGACTGCAGCAACGAAGAAGGGCCAGACGGGGTAGATGGCGGTGTATAGTGGGCCTTTCACCGGTAGCGAAAGGAGGAGAGTATGGAGTGCGTCGGAGAGCTCGAGGATGGAGGAGTGGAATCTTGTGAACCTGGAGACATGTTAAGATGTGAAAGCTTTGGACTATATAAGATGCTTACCCGTAGACGCGACAGCGCAGGTAGATGAGCGCGGCGAGGCGGAAAGCCTCTGCTGTAGCGAGGAGGATTTCTTTCTCCGGCCCATCTGGCTCTGAACTCCATTGCTTTAGATCTTGAAGCTGTTTCTCTTGTGCTTGGGCGTACATGAGTTTGTTTAGTCTGTATGGACCTGTCGGAAGTGATGTTATGGATGATATGAGGAAGAGCAACTGAGGTGAGACTCCCAGAGGAGTCGAAATCCTGGAAGAATCGCTTGGCGATATACTGTCCAACCAGTTTGTCGTCTCGAATGTATGCTGCCGAGTGTTGCTTAACTGGTGAGAAGTTCGTGCGGTACGAGCCAGGATGAGCTGAGCGTGCAGGAACATGACGGGGTCAGATTTGTGGGTGATGGCTTCCGGGGGAATCGCATCGAGCACATTAGCGTGACATGACCAGCACATTAGAGAGTCGTCCTGATTGATCAGGCCGTGATGCATCAGTAGCATGCTTGTGGCCAGGGCACCGGTATAGTGATGACCATCGCTAATTTGTGATGCTAGAGCTTGAAGTGCTTGCGTCGAGTAATACAGTTCCGCTTGGTGATAGGTATCCTTGTCTTTCGGCATCTGTTCGCAGAGGTATGATGCTGAGAGACTGAGGATAGCGTAGCGTGTGCTCAAGCAAGTATCCGCAACCTGTAATAACGACGTATACACATTCGTCTGCGATGCAACGGTGCGACCCGGGCAGATGCCCCTGACATAGAAGTCGATGAGGAAGTTTTCCATATCTCCAGCAGCGGGGACCATACTTGGTGGGAAATACTTGATGAGACTTGCGGGTCCCGTCTCCTGTGAAGATATGCTGTCACGAGAACGGACAGATCGCGTCGGACTACGTGAGCATATCTGTAAAGCTTCTACAGTTAGCATTGGTGAATCGACTGCTCAGATTAGCAAGCTATGTTTGGTACTCGTATGGTGAAACGCATACCTTTAGCGCCGATAAGATCCGACAACTCGGACAGAAAGTCTTGACAAGCGTCCGCCTTTGATCTCTGGATGTATCGAATGCGCTGAATCACTAGCGCTACTGCGTTCGCATCTTTCACCAAATTTACGTACGGCTGTCGTTGATGAAGTGTCGCTTTGAACTTTTCGAACTGGTTGCTATTGAGCTCGCCCAACCGCCAATATAACTGGCCCAGGACTTCGAGAAGCACGACGCCGGGGCCTTCACTAATCATCCACTGCCGGATGACAAGCAAATTTCGTCTGCTGTTCCTTTGGTTTCCCTCGGTTGGTAGATCGACTACTCGCCCAAGAAGTCGGTCGATATGTGTGCAGTCTAGACTTCCGAAGTCCGCGGTTATTGAAAGATGTTGGAGAGCGTCGTTGGCGGCCTCGAGAGCTTTGGCGAGTCGTCTGTCTGCGTCCATAGTGATGCGCTGCACGGTCGATCGCGTCGGTAACAGTACGTAGTATGTGTTGAACAATATGTGCCGGGACACTGGAGAGATAATTGCAACCGTACCAGACGGGTTTTGCGGGCTAGGCTCCACCGAGTATTGTTATATCGCTTTTGGCCCAGAGAGAAAATATGTACTGAACAATGGGCCTGCACTGAAGTAAATGGACAAGGGGAGGTGAAGCATAAACAAGAGACAGAAGCGCCAGAGGCACGGTACCTTGTCCAGCATCGCGTCTGAAACTCTACAAGCATACGGTGCACGCAGGTGAGGCTCCGCCTTGCTCGCCATGATGAAAATGCACATCAAGAGGCTGACTTCATGCAGGCTGGGCTGCAGATGAGGCCGTGTAAGTCCCCGATTTAGGTCACCACAACGCTAGCTAGCGCGGATTTGGCGAGATGGAACGGATGTGGTCATGAAACAACATGTCGACTTCCAGTTTACCAAACGCTGACAGGAGATGGCGCGCCACCACCTGGGCGTAGTACCCGTAAGGCTGGAAGGATGGGGCTATTCAACGCAGACATGCGGCACAGCGTTTGGGACGCATGGAGCACATGGCACGGCGCATGTCGACAAGGAATTGTTCGCGATAGCAAGAAGAACGTTATGGACTTGAGTCGTGTCTCGCCGGGAACGGCTGCGGTTGGCGAGTCTCGGTCATTGTTGTTGGCGAGGTACAGGAAGGGCGAGCTCGAAAGAAAGGGTGAAAGCCGGCGAGCCAGCCGAAAGAGGAAAGGTGCATAATTTAGCGACGACGGTGAGGATCACTCAGCCACATCCCCAGCTTGAGTTTCCCTTCAATCGGGATTTCACCCAAAGACCATGCCATCGGCGCGCCGCTTCTGCAACGTCGGTGCACATTGCTCTCCGCACCACCGACGACCTCATCAGGGCCCGAGCGAGGCAATCGCTCTCCGACGTAAAGTACATGCGCGCAAAGCCTCGGATGCCGAAGAATGGCCTGTCGGGGGCATCCGCTCCTCGTGGGTCTGAGCGGCAAGCATCGACCTCTCGTTCCTACGTAGCTGGCTTGATACCAATCCGGCTGTCCGCTTCCTGGCCTTACAACGATCGCGAACTTGTTGATCATTATGAGGCAGGTGTGATCCGCTTAAAGTTCATGGATGTCTCTGCTAGCTCTCGAGACGACGACCGACATCAAAGTACTTTCACCAGGTTGACCGCTAGATGCACTTGTCACAGGATCAAGACAACACAGCCACGATTTGGTTCCAGGCATTTCCAGCTGCGGCTCCAGGGATCTCAAGGTCCAGGCAGCTCTTATACATCTAATAGGTATATCTGCGCAGGGGCCGAGTCGATTGTGAAACGCTAAACCGGAACGGTATAAGGAAAAGTGACTTCGATGAACAGTGCATTTGTTGAGAAAAGTATGGAATTCGACGGACACTGATGACTCGCATAGTCCTACTACAACGCCACAAGGGCTGCCACAGGACATGGCCATCATTCCATCTTCAGCTGCTCGACGCAAAATGACATCCTCATAGTCTATTTAGCATTTGGTCCGCTTCAAGCGATGTCTTCAGGTTGTTAGACACGCTGGTACGCCGCACTATTCCACTTTTACTCAGCAAGGTGGTCTGTACTAGCATTATCATCAGTAAGCTCTCCCATTGACCTAACGCCCTTACCAGCAGGTATCCAGAGGTCTGAAAATACTCGACCGGGATGAAACACTGTCAATGCAGCAACTGCAAGGACTATCATTGGCCCTTCGGATACCATACATGTGGCTTCGTGATCAATCAGAGCTCCGCCGAAACCGGTCCAAAGCTCAGCGACACGATATATGCAGCGCACATAGCTGGACACAGTTGCAACAAGAAGACTCCACTGGAAACAGATCGATTTCTTTGTCGAACGAAGATGGATGTACAATGGTGGCTGGGTGCATGACAAGCTGCTCGAGAACTTCGCATGCCGCACACGGAGAAGAGATTCGCCCCAAAGAGCCAGGAAAAGAGTCATGGTGATGACTTGGGACATCAGACCAGCAATTTCGATATTGATTGTCGTTCTTGGGCTGTCCGTGTCTCCTGCAGTTGCGGCCATGCCACCACCAATAACCTGTAGGACAAGAGCGAGCAGATCGCAGCCGACAAACACGTACGTGTAAATCTTGTGTTTTGACTTCGGAAAATCGGCCCTGAAGATCACGATGATGCGTCCTAACGAGAGATAGATGCCGGCGGTCAGGAGAGCAGGTGATATGGTAAGCGTAATGCAATTACTCTCTCCTGCTAGACATGGACGTAATACACGGACAAGGTAACTTACATAAGGAAGAAGTTTATGCTGAAAGGGTCCACGTTGAGCATTATGCGGCTAACATACCCCACTGCCTCTCCGAGGACGTCAGCGCACATGTTACCCGTGAACGATCAGGTCTTGTTCCGGACACCATACCACAGCCGTCCACCGAACAGTGCCAAGCAACCGAGCATGTAGGTTACGTTTCCCCCCATGTTGGTCGATATTCGATGACTTGCCAGGACTCTGAACATTTGCCAACTGAAGACATGTCTTCAAGGTTGTGCTGGAACACGACTAAGCTCTCAGCGATACCGTGATCTCACTCCATCCGTTCGGTGCACCCCATGAGCCTCCGCCGATCTCGCAAGTGGTTTGCGCATCACTGCTGTGAGCTTTGGCGTGTGCCTGCGGCTGATACATAGCCACCGTAGTTCAAACGAACAGAACTGGCGCAGGCGCAGCGGGAGGCTGCCGTTTACAAGCCTCTAAACCTGCGGAAATAACCTGATTGGTCAAACGTCAGGAACTTTCCATCGGCTTGACTGGTTGAACTGAAGTATCAGAATAGCAACGAAACAAAAGGGTGCAGGCTGAAGCGAAGAGATCTACAACGGCGAACGCCATTGTTGGGGGAGCTGGCCAATGACGCACAGTCCAACCTCCCCACTTCGCCTTGTCTCCGTCCTCAACCTTAGGCCTCCCAGGCGCAGCGATCCTTCGCACAACAGACATCACTCCTTCATTGGTGCTATCGACGCAGACAGAAATCGGGAGCGGTCTTTGCGATTTTCGCAAGCCTGCTCGTTGGTGCAAGGATCAGAACAAGCCTGCCCTTCAACGAGATCAACACGCCGGTTGCAGCTTCATGAGATCTCCTTACTCCTCGGATCTTATCCTGTCTCTTCACTTCGCTATTCCACCATCTCCACAGCATTTACTGCTTTCAAAAGGGTGCCGCGCTGGCTTCTGAGCCTTTGGGATAGGTTATCATGTTGTCTTCATTTTGCACGCCGTGCTTCGGATCTGGAAGCGTGATGGGTGAGCACTGGCATGTACTGCTCTAAACCATATAATCATGTCCAAATCCATTTTTCTACGTATAACCTACTTGGATCACCTGCATTCTGCTTATAGTAGAGCCCAGCACTGTCGCAATGTAACGGTTTAGGCCTTCTCTCGGCGTTGCGCGTCTACTTCGAATACCAGTCCTTCAATACTTTTAGTCAACGTCGATCCAGGTAACTATCGTTCTACACTAGATATTGGCATGTTTTGAAACGTTCCATTCTTCTTGCAATTTGTGGGTCTTTGTGGCTGCTAGTCCAGGCACAGGATCTAGCGTTCTAGCCGATATACAACGAGTATAAGCCGGTCCATCATCGGTTTTGCTCGATCAAAACTTCGTAAAGAGCCATCGCAGAGCACTTAGCGGATGAAGGAGTTTTATAATAGACGAACCATCTTGTATTAGTCTCTTTAAGAATGCCCTGTCTTGCGAAGTGCATTGGGCAGGCTCATTTAGCAGATAAATAGTTAGCCGACTCGGACTAGGTGTCTGAGGCATGTGACGAATGGTAAGCCATGTTGCGACATTGGTGGCCAGCCAAGCACGAAAGAAGAAGAGCTCGCATTGAAGTTTTATGACATTGCCATTGAATCTATCGGTATCCACATGTACTCCCAAAGGTTTTAATTACGAAGAGCCCTAGATATTGCGCCTGGATGCTTAATATTGCCAGACCGTGTGATATCGCTACGCTGTGGAACATCGAAAAAGACAAACATGACAAGTTACCTGGCGCGCACGCATATCGGGCCCGAAGGGAAGGACTTGGTACTGTAGTTGAGCAATGGACCTCACTCCTCCAAATTCCATAATCTTTGAGCACCGTTTGTAAACTTTGGAGGCAGATCTATCACTCGTAGGGTGCTTGGTTTGGCGCTCTGAAAGACGGACGAGAAGGCGAATAGCGGATGGAGTAGTTACATGGGATGTATAAATGCAGATTCCGTAGCGACCAAAGAGGGTACAGATGACCAAACTGATATTGCCCAAGCGAATGACGCCTTCCTAGGTTTCGTGGTATGTCGTTGATCGTTCGGTAAGGACGGAAGCCGAGAAGCCTGGGTATAGCTGGGAAAATGTACATGGAAAGGGTATCGAAGTCCAGAAGCATGAAACAGCTCGCCATTACTCTTGTGGCTCTAACCGGAAGAACTCTTCATGCTGTAGTGGTGTGCCCAGTAGGGGTTTAGTGGCCGCCGTTCTTCCTGAAGTTGAGCAACTGAGATAGGCTCGCCAGGCTGCATCCGCTCTTGAGGAAGTCGTGGCTGATGAGCTCTCCGGCACTTGCTCGGGACTTTACGTCGACGCAAAGGCAGACCGACAAGAAGGCCTTGAGCTCTTTCGAGAGCTTGTCTGGCTTCTTGAGACGAGGAGTACCATTGGTGGCAATGAGATACAAAGCCTTGAGCGGTTCCTCATTCAGGTACGGTGGTTCAGACTCGATCATCTCAATGGCCATGATACCCAAAGACCAGATATCGACCTTGTTGCCATACTCTTTTTGCTTGACGACTTCAGGGGCCATCCAGTATGGAGTTCCGACCATAGTTGCACGCTTGCTGCGCTGCTCAGTAAGTTTCGCACTGAAACCAAAGTCGGCTGTCAAAGGTTAGCAAGCTGACGACAGAGGATACGTGGCGGATACATACTAATCTTGACATTGCCACGGCCATCGAGCAAGACATTGTCACTCTTGATGTCTCGGTGGATGATGTTCAAGTTATGAAGGTACTCAAGTCCCTTGCAGGTCTGATGATTGTCAGTGTGGATTCCCGAAAGTCCATGCTACGTAGCTTACCTCGAAGCAAATCGTCGCGATCTGGTCTTCGCTAATGGAAGGGTTGTTGTCAATGATGTCGGTCAAAGCACCTCCCTCCATGAACTCCATGACGACCCAAAGCTCGGACTGCTCCTCTTGCAAGAACGCGTCCAAGAAGTTGACGATGTTGGGGTGTTTGCTGTCCTTCATGACGATAATTTCGTTTACGATAAGTTCTTTGCGTGGCTGGTTGCGGAGATCCATTTGCTTGATAGCGACCTGTGCACGTGGGCCATTTTCTTGCATAACCCTTCGGGCCATGGGCGAAGTGGCACCTTCACGGATGCGAGCAACATACACGGAACCGCTAGCACCTTGGCCAATCTTCTTTTGCTTGTTGTACGAGTCCAGTGGCCGTTCTTTGGATACGACCTCCCGGAGCTTCGCCATGACCTCGCCTTCGGACATGCTGGACATGCGCACATCCTTCCGCGCTGGCTCCTCCTTGGGCTTAGCAGTAAGGGCCTGCTCGGCCTTCTTCACTGCATCACTGACAGGAGCATTCTGGGGCTTAGCAACGTTCAACGGCTTGGGTGCAGCACCTGGCTGGTATTGCTTTTGCTGTTGGGTTTGACCATTGGCAACCCTGGGAACCTGGCCACTCGAATTCTTCGAGGCCATGGGCGGTCGCTGCTGAGTTGACTGCGCTTTGGAAGGAGATGTGCTGTAGCCACCGTTCTGTTGCTGAGGTGCTGGAGGCGCTTGACGCTGTGCGACTGGCTGCCGCGGGGGCTGCTGCTGTGGTCCTCTTGCACCGGGAGTGGATGGCGCAGCGCGGTTGGGTTGGTACCTCTGGCCTGACGGGCTCTGATCTCGCGAAATGCCGCCTCCGCCAATGTCTTGTTGTACCGCAGGGACCCTCTTTAAATCCGCAAGTTGCCTATTGTAGTCTTCATCCACCTCGCGTTGCTCGCGCTCGTACGCCTCCCTCTGCTTCTGGAGTTCGCGTTCGCGCTGTGCCCTGACCTGGTCCTCTTGCCTCCTCCTATCCTGTTCGTAGCGATCTTGTTCGTAGCGATCCTGTTCGTAGCGGTTTTGTTCGTAGCGGTTTTGTTGCTGCGAAGCCGAGTTTTGTTGACCGCCATAGCCTTGACTGTAGCTGTCTTTTCGCTGATAATTGCCAGGTGGTGCAGGGCGCGGAGGCGCAACAGAATTGCCGCTGCCACCGTATCCAAGCTGCTTCTCCATTCCAGCATTTGTTGGCGGGGTCGGAGTGAGACTCGGGTATTGCTGAGGGTCCTCGGAGCGCTTGACAAGCTTTTCAGTGTAGAACTCCAAAACTTCCAGAACAGCCTTGGGGTTCTTCGCGTAGTCGTCTTTAGTTAGGGCGGATGCGGTGAGAAGCTTCTCCCATTCTACCGGCAGACCAACGAACGCTCCGCTGTTAGGGTCGAAGCCTACGTGCACTCTGTGGGTGAAGTTGGTGGGGTTGCTGACACCGCCCATGCTGGGACAGCGCTGGTAGATGCTGTCGATCCACGAGTAGACGTCATCGTCAGTCTCGACCTTGCATGTAATGATCTTGGTAGGGCCATCGCGGGGTGGGGACGAGCCCTTGCTGGTGTTGGCAGCCTTGGTGATTTCAAAGGACAACGGCTGCGTGTCTGATCGCTCCACGCCGAGGATGTCTCGCAGTTGAATCGTGTTTGATGCTTTGGAGGCATTAGGGCTCTTGAAGAAGTTCAGCTCGAATTCGCGCAGTACCAGCCACCGGTCGGTCCAGATCAAAGCTTTGACCCAGGATGCATCCTTGACCTTGACCATGCCCTCTTTGACTGTGGCCGTTGTCGAAACGCTTCTCTCGGACTGTGTGCGTATAAGCGACATTTGCGAGCCGTTGTTTAAAGCAGGCGACTGCATACTCCGGCCGGCCATGTTGCCCGGCATGTTGGGATTGGCGTTGGGAGTATAGGAAAAGCTGCGATCGGTGTTGGATTTAGGTGGGGGTGGTTTTGGTGCTGCACGGGTGTTCTCGAAATGTCCATTGGGATACATGCTGGAGCAATGTGGTCAGCGGCCGGTCTCGCGAGTGGCAGTCTGATTGAAACGGGGCAGGTGACGCTGCTGCCGTTTGGGGTTGAAAAGCGGTGTTTGGAGCAGCCAGACGACAGCTGAGGAAGGAGCGCCAGGGGACTCACATGGGCAGACTATCGTTGTAGCAACAACAGTCGAATTATACAATAGCTACAATAGCTTCGTGAGTCGTTCACTGCCTCTGGTGCGGCCAGGCAGTCGAGGGTGAGTGTGGTGAATAGCGGGGGACCCGTGCTCAATGGGGTGAGCAAGTAAGTGGCGGGGCGATGTTGAGCGAGGTTTGGGTCAACTCTCACTGAGACAGAGGGCGCTGGGGTGGTGTCGAGGACGCAGCGTCTGGAGATGGGGGTCGCGTCGAGTAAGCAGCAATGCGAGGGTCGGGCTGCAGCAGAGCGGGATACCAGTCCTGATCCTGAAAGCGAGCGGGCGCTGCTGCCAATCCAAATCGCAAAGCGTCGCGCCGAGTCGTCTTCAGCGAGGATGCCACATTCGAAAACTGCACACGCAGGGTAAATAGGAGAAGCTGGCAGGCTGCGGGCGAGAGCGCAGTCGTGTCTGGTGCACGCAGTCGTGGTAGGGCCTGGAGTGGAACCCTTTCTCCTGGCACCATTGGCTTTGGGCACTGGCGCGCTAGCATCCGGCACGGAACTTTCTCTCACGTGCGCTCGACTCCTCTTCGGACGTCGAGCCTGAAAGGAACGCGATGTGCACTCATTGGCTGTTGCCACTCGCGAAGCGGATGACTACCAGCGGCATGAGTCTACTACAGACGTTTCATCAGCAGACAGGCGCGACAACGGCAGAGGGTCCGGCTTGATCGCCCGGCGGTTGCAAGTACACCATCTTGTTCAGCGTTTCAGAAGAAGGCAAATTGACGTCTGAAACCCTTCTGGCTGGCCGCCAAAACCTTCCACAGCCTCCACCGGTGCATATTTAGAAACCGTGCCGCTCGCGACGTCGGTGGCTGCTTGCCTGCTTGTGCAAAAGAAGGGTTCTCTACCAAACTACGGGATTTCACGTTGTGTCAAATGTCATTGATGTTCGTCTGCATTTTTACAGTTCGCACTATGCATCCATTGCAGCTGCGCACATGGTCGCCTGTATATGTGGGAAGGTATCGCGACGGCAACCACTATATATCATGTCCTATTGTTTCACGTCCCACGGCGCTCGATACACCGAGTACAAATCAGCATGTTTCAACCGTCTGTTGGATGATGCCCGCCTCCGACCCCACCATTACAGCCGCTATCCCTGTCGCGACACCCAGCGATGCACGTCATGACAACAGGGGCACATGTGCACATAGTGAACAGTTTGCAGCAAAAGTCGGGTGCACTGAACCTGCCCGGGCATGTTGCGACCGCATTTCGATAGCTTTGGTTTACTCCGGAGATTAGTCTATTCTACACCCCAAACGCCCAAAACGTCCCTGCCCGCGCCCTCCTGTTCCTTGTTCTTGCGCGCTTGGAGTGCTTTTACCCTGCGAACGGATAGTCCAACAGCCAGAGGACCCAGGATAGTGCACAGAACGATGGCCCAAGTCACGACAAGAAATATGTCGGTTGGCTCGCCTGAAGTCTCTCCAAAGACGCCCTGGGACTCGGCGACACCGGAAATTAGGAAGCCAATCTCTCCACGAGCGCACATTGCAAAGGCGAGGATCAGTGGCGGGTGCAGCGAAAAGGGCTTTGGTGGATTGGGCGAAGATCGGGCCTCGCTTTCGGTACTACTTGGTGAAGTTGTCGGGCGGCTTCGCGATGGGGTAGCTCTTGCCTGCGTTGTAGTGATTCCTTCTTGCGCGGGAGGTGCGCCGCCGCTCTTTCCCCACAGGTGAGGCACCGAAGGCAGGCGCACCTTGGACAGAATTCTGCTGGGCGCTTTTTTGCCTGGGGATATAGAAAACCGAACGAGCCAGAAACCACACACAAGCTTTGCGAAGGTCATGAGAACAGCGTAGACGATGCCTCGCCAGACTATCGCGCCCCTGAACATACGTGTGATGGGTATCGAGAATCCGATGGATGCGAAGAAGAACGGTTGTAGGATCTTCGACACTGCGGGATGGTAGTACTGCTCGTAGATGGCTGCACCACCGGTCGCAACCACATGCTCTTCACTCTCCATGTCGGTGGGTCGAGACGGAATTGCTCCTTGATTTTGGTCTGCTGTGGTCTTTGACGCATCGGGAGACGAGCCTTCTGAGCTCTCAAGCATTGGACCGACAGTTGCCTGTCTTTTCTCATCTACAGCATTCGTAGCTGAAGTGCTTGTAGGATGGGGCACGTCAGAGTCCCACCAACTAATGCTAGCTCCCGCGATATACGCAGCGAACAAATTCGACGTACCCGCGTATGTGGCTCCCGCGACAAGAGCAATGAGAACCAGCGTGTGGATCACGAAGGCTGTTTGTGTTCGCTGTAGCAAGGCGCTCAGATGTGCGCCCGGGTGAGCTTCGCGGTACGCGTTCAGCCATGCGGTCAAAGGCTTCGCGACGAAGAGACAGACAAGAGGTGCGATAACCGCAAAAGCAACCGAAACGAGGACTGGGCGAACGACCGTTACCCAGCTGAAGTTGTCGCCACCTAAGTTGGAGATGACTTGCACCATGACTAGCCCCACGACGTCGTCCATCATAGCGGCGCTTGTGAGAACAACGCCTAGGCGGGTGGTAGCCAAGCCACTCGACCCGAGAACCGTGAAGGTTGTGCCCAGGCTGGTGGAGCATAGAGCAGCGCCAGCGGCGAAAGCTTGTACTGGGCTAGCATCCAGTAAGCCTTGCAGAGTGTACGAGAGCCCGATAGGAACTAGAATTCCCGTGAGTGCGACGCCAGAAGATAGAAGCAGATTTGCCTTCAGTGATTGGAACGAGGTAGAAAGCCCGCCTGGCGAGCGTTAGTCAATGCCACAGATATGGGTTGGGTTGGGCGATGCAGCGCATGCAGACCTTCATAGACAAGCAGTATCAATCCCAGATAGCCTAGTTGCACGACCGTCTCTTCTAAGCTCTCGGATAGCCACTTCGCACCTGGCGTGCCCCATGCAATGCCAACCAAAACCTGGCCCAGCAGACCGCAGTACAGCACCCTGTCGAGAGCAGCATTGACGACGTTAAGGAGGAGGAGGAAAGACGTGAGCACGAGAATGACAACGATGCCCGGCTCGTGATATGGCAGCGACGCGGCATCTTGAGACGCGTCTACAGCCATGATGCAGGCAAGAGCGATGAAGGACCAACGTGGCGTGTGGCGCCTGATGTACCCGGCGTGGTGCAGCCACGAGGCAAGTAAATAGACAGGCTGAATACACGCGCTACTCCAAGAGTATCTTGGGCATTGTCTCTCGGTCTCAGCAAGTATTGGACGAAGAGACTGTCAACCAGATATCGCGTGTCGTCGCAGCCAGCCAACCAGAGGCGACTCGGGCGCCCAAGGCCGTGTGGATCCAGGGGCCCCGCTACTGGGACAGGGGTGCAGCGACAGCCGAAGCCGCGCCCGCAGTCAGCCATTCATTGTTTTGGGCCAGGACTCTGGAAAACACGCCCGAGTAGTCGCCAGCTAGCATCCCGTATCCACCCAAATATATTCCTACCTGCATGCGCCCAGCCGAGTGAGAGCCCTGATGCACACTGATCATGGCGCCGCTTGAACAGCAATGGGTCAAGGTCCAGCAGAAGACATTCACCAAGTGGTACGCTGCAACCCCCGCCGCTGCCCCGGCCCCGACACTACTACTCACACCGCTGCAGGCTGAACAGCAAGCTCAAGATCCGCGAAGTTGAGATCAAGGACCTCATCATCGACCTCTCGGACGGTGTACGTGCCCCGCTTGGCCCCCAACATGGCCTCTCCCCGCATCACGTCCTAACGCCCCCTAGATCATACTCATACACCTCCTCGAGATCCTCAGCAACGAATCCCTCGGCCGCTATGCCTCTCGACCCAAGCTGCGCGTGCAGAAGTTTGAGAACGTCAACAAGTCGCTCGACTTCATCCGGAGTCGGAGGATCCAGCTTACCAATACCGGTGCCGAAGATGTCGTCGACGGCAACAGCAAGATCATCCTGGGTCTGATATGGACCCTCATTCTGCGCTTCACCATCAGCGACATCAACGAAGAGGGTCTCAGTGCCAAGGAGGGTCTGCTGCTGTGGTGTCAGCGGAAGACGGCCTGCTACGATGAGGTCGAAGTGCGTGACTTCTCTACGAGCTGGAACGACGGACTGGCATTGTAGGTGGAGCACTCTTTGGTGGGAGACTGGGCTAACAACAGACAGCTGCGCCCTGCTCGACATCCACCGTCCCGATCTCATCGATTACGACAGCCTAGACAAGAGCGACCACCGCGGCAACATGCAGCTTGCATTCGATATCGCCTCCAAAGAGATTGGTATCCCCGACCTGCTGGATGTGGAGGACGTGTGCGACGTCGCGAAGCCCGACGAGCGTTCACTCATGACATACATTGCCTACTGGTTCCACGCCTTCTCGCAGATGGAGCGCGTGGAGAATGCTGGGCGGCGAGTCGAGAAGTTCGTCGCAAATATGCAGGGAGCCTGGCAGATGCAGAACGACTTCGAGCGACGCATGCGCGAGCTGCTAGACCAGATCGCCAAACAGCGCACACAATGGGAGGAGGCCAAGTTCGACGGGACATACGCAGACGCTAGGAACCAGTCGACCGAGTTCACCGCCTGGAAGCGCAAAAGCAAGCGAACATGGGTAGCCGAGAAGTCGGACCTGGTGGGACTACTAGGGAATATAAGGACGAAGTTGGCCACATACCGGTTGCGACCGTACGATCCGCCCGCGGAGCTCAGCCTCGAAGCACTGGACACCGCCTGGACGGGATTGATGAAGGCCGAGAGACAACGCTCCCAGGTCATCAACGAGACAATCAGAGACATCAAGAACGCTCTGCGGAAATCCTTCGCCGACAAAGCAAACGACTTCGCCCTGGCCCTCAACACACTCTCTACATCGATATCAGCGTTGGAAGGCGATGTTGAGGACCAGCTAGAGCACACAAAGGAGATCAGCAAGTCGCTTGCACCCCTGGACGAATACCTCAACCTCATAGCGTCCATCGACGAGCAATGCGCCGAAGCGAACATCGAGGAGAACGACTTCACAACATACACATACGACGAGCTAGAATACGAGCTGGGCTTGGTCCGTAGTTCGGTATCGAAGAAGCTTGCCTTCTTGGAAAACCAGATGGTGGCACGTAACATGACCAACCTCACCCCAATACAGCTTGAGGAGTTTGAATCAGTATTCAGGCATTTTGACCGCGATGTATCGAATTCGTTAGCAGAATTGGAGTTCTCTGCCGCATTGGCTAGTTTGGGCTTGGTGTACGACGAAGAAGAAATGCACGAGAGATTCCGCGAAACTAGTGGTGGCAAAGACTATGTTACATTCGAGCAGTTTATCCGATTCATGGTGGACGAAACCGAGGATCAAAATACCGCGGAGCAAGTCTTTGAGTCCTTCAAAGAGGTCGCCGACGGCAAGGTCAGTCTATACCCACCTCTTTCCCTCATTTCTCCATGTATCACCAGCTACTAACATTTCACCAGCCATACGTCACCGAACTCGACCTCCGCCACTCCCTCGTCCCCGACGAAGTCATCGACGACCTCCTCTCCACCATGCCCGAGCACAAAGGCCCAGATATGGCAGAAGACCGCGACATACCCAAATTCGACTACATCACATACATGCAGCGGTACATGGGCGCCGACCGCGCCAACGGCACCGCTCCCGAGCCGGAGGTCAACGGCGAGTAGAACACGACCGATCTCGAGCATAGGGTTCTTCTTACCCCGGCGTTTGTATAGCCAGCCGTCCGGGAACCAACACAAGAGTTTGGATAGGATAATAGCATGGATTGGATATTGAGATCGCTCAGCGGTGTATCGTTCGGTAGATTCTTTTCTTATGGTTCTTTTGCATGGTCAGTGGCTGGTTTTGGAGTCATGAGTCCGCTGTCTAAGTTGGTTATTGAGGTGGTATACACGGCTAGGATGGAGGATATGGATGAATTGGAATTGAATGGATTGGTTAGGCTCTTTGGAGTAAGGCGCGCGACTTGTTGCATGTTTGACGTTGATACCACGCAGATAGCTGAAGAATTATTGAAGTTAGTCGTAATCATGAAGTTGGCTGCCGGGGATGTTTGAGGTGTTAAGGTGCAGGGTGGGGCTGTTGTATGCTATGACAATTGCATGGAACCGGAGCCCTCGATCTTCTGCCGCTTCGCGTTTACCTCCTTTGACCACTCAGCAAAATGGACGCTATGTCCTGGTGTCGCCAGATCGCGATAGACGGCGAAATAAGGTGCGACAATGTAGAGGTTGACATATTCTTGACGGTTCTCTTCCCTCATCCAGGCATCGTGGACCATAGCACCATAAGTACCCAAAGCCATCAACACCAGGTTCAGAAGATGATCCTCGGAAGCAGGAGGCGTGCAATACTTTTCTGTAAATATGCCAGTGCTAACAAGCATGTGCTTGAACTGAGCCAGCGTAGGCTGACCCGCCAATGCCTTGACCAATGCATTGTGAGCGAATTCCTGGAGATGTTTGATATTCCAGTCATATGCTAGCTTGAAGATATCGAGGTGAACGTGAGCGAGGCACACATCGGAAGGAATAGCTTCAACGGAAGCGTCGGATTTAGGGTCCAAGTACATGAGCTTGTGGCGGTCGAGAGGAGTGATGATGCGGTAGGCCTTGTGGTGACGAAAGAAGTCCACCGTGGCGTCGATAGCGTACGCAGGCCAGTCTTCCATAACAAAGATCTGTTTCTATTTTCACACGTTAGAATCAATCCACTTGAAGTCGTGAGTGGACCCCTAAACCAGATGAACTCAAACAATTACATGCTTCTCAATCAGACCCCGCATGTTGGGTGAGTAGGTGGCGGCGACCTGCGCATGGCACTTCCACAGGCTTCTACCAGGACCAGGGATGGGAAAGGTCTGTGGCAAGGACTTGGCCAAGTCGGCCAGGCAGCTATGTAAGTTAGTTTGCGACCGTGAACAGAACGAGAAACACATACGAGTTGGTGATTTCGTGATCCGAACTCAAGTCTGACTTGCTGATCTCTCTGTGGTATCCAAGTTTGGCTAGGACCTTGTGGAATCCGCCACGAATAAACATCTTGATCTTCTGCGCCTCTGGACTGATAATATCCTCGTTATCGACGTCTTCGCCTTTGCGCTTGGTCCCGCGGGCTTCGGTGGGCAGTGAAGTCGCCATTGTTAGTATCGGCAGTGCGCGCAGTTCCTTCGCAGGGTCAGTGAAGAGGCAAGGCACAAGCGAGAGAGTCAGAATTGTCAAGGCAGGCGCCAAGATATAGTATAAACATAGTGGGGCTCGGTGTGGAGGTGCGGGAGTGAGTGAGAGCAAACGCTCGGGTGCGCCTATCGTAAAGCGTTGCCAGGTGAACGTGGACAGCGAAGCCGTATATGTAGCGGATGGCAATACATGTAGGTTGAAATTCTGTAAGACTTCATCGTCAGTTTGCAGGCTTTGACAATGTTCCACCGGAAGGATGGCTGAGTCGTACGCAACACATCGAGCTCCATGTATTTTTGCTTCCCAACTTTCGCGCCTGTTCGATCCCGTGTACTAATGCTCTTTTTTTAACATGTGTTTCTTTACATTGCAGCAAGACAAGGCAAGCTAAACTACATTCTAAGACTATAACTGCGTTTTAAAGGCATCTATTCTATGCTATTATTGCATTACTACATTTGCGTAGCTAAGGCCTGTAGTATTAGTTTAATTAGAGAATGCGATGCGGTATACTAGTCTAGGATACGCTAACAAGATGTTATAACTAGAGAGATAACATAGATAAGAGCAGCAATGTCTTTACTAAGCACGAACCGAGAAAGAAGTGAGGTGTCTGCCTTTCGATCTAGTGTTTCTGCTCGATAGCATTGCGGTGTGGTTACAGCAGAGAAGAGCCGCAGACTTATAACTTATTATGTCTGAGGGCTGTGTAAACGATCCGGAAAGTGAAATTCCAAGAAGTGAGAAAAGGAAGAGACTGAATCCAAAGACATTGATTGGATTGAGATCTAGGTAGAGGTGTTGGTTCGAGGCTGGGATAGAACGATGGGGTGGCGTTGTTTCGGTCTCTTTTTGCGTCGGTGTGTAGGTGTGGGCGGAGTTAGAGGCAGAGTGAAGGTAAAGGCGAAGATAAGACGGCAAGAGCGTCCAGCTTTGATTTATTTTGGAAAAGTAGAACGTGTCTAACAATAGTAGTATCTTCATCGCTCTATCAAATTAGCGCTTGATCTCTTAATATCTTTCTTGTCCTACTGCCGCGCACAACTTGTGGTTTGATGTCCACACTTACCTTCACCTCGAGTTCCTTGCGCGTCGCTGCCTAGCCTTCCGCGAGTGGGGTTAGCGTCAGTCTGTGCTTCCCAATCTGGCTACGAGCAGTTGCTCTTTCCCTACCAGATACCTAGGTACTCTCCATCCTACTCCCCCACTACGAGTCACTGGGACCGCGATAGAGCCCAGATTGTTAAGCGCCAGCTCGGCGGCGAAAACCACTACTATCCGTGGTGGATACAAGCACCCCAATAAGACTCACTTCATTGCACTGCAACGAAACCACAAGGTAAAGTCTACAGAAAATCCACAATACTTCGAAGCTAATCCAGGACTTTGAAGCTCCACGATCAAGCATGACGAACGCGCAATCCCGACCCCTGGGGTTCCTCGACTTGCCTACAGAATTGCGACTGATGATGTATGAGCTTCTGCCGAACCGTACCATTCGTACTCGATATGTCAAGCGCAGCAGCGACGGAACGACTGAGAGCAGCTTCACTATCATCACGTACACCGCACCTACCGCTATCTTGGCCACCTGCAAGACCATCAACAGCGAAGCAGCAACCATCCTCCTCAAGACCACACAGCAACTACTACCCGGAAGAGTCGTCGAGCGGTTTCCTTATCTCACTGGCACTGCGCCCAAGATCGAGGCGGAAATCCCCGCTTTCTATATCCTCAGTGCGCGGAAAGGAGTGGTCAAGGCAGCCATTGACTGGTACGCTTGCCTTCAGACGACCTCGTCCTCCGACTTCAATACCTTCTTGAATTCTCATGGGTACAATATGTTCTCTCTCCTGGAGAAACACGGATACATGACGGAGGGTGGAACATGAGAAGAAGGAGTTTGTCATCTACTCAACTTCATCCGCAAGTCTGGGTGCGTACTCCACCTTCGCCGCACGTTGCTGAGTGACGTACATTTGGAGGATGATATCGACCCGCGGCGGTTTGCCCACCCTTCCCGCATCTTTCACATTGCCGTTTCGAAGGGCGCCAGAGATCAGATGGACACAGTCAACGCGGTCAAAGACTTCGGTAGAGCTTTAAGCGTACTTGACTCCACACGCGACATTCGTGTCAGTATTCACGCCCTTGCCTCAGCATCAGAAGAGACCAATGCCGCGGTCCGCGCAGGCGGTACGAGGGTTGTGCTCGAAATTAGTGAAGACCGGCGCGATAGACACTATTACGTTACTTCAGTCCTCGCATTAGGCAAGACAATGCTAACAAGGTATGGAAGGAGGATTACAACCGATTCTGGGGCGAGGGCGAGTGGAAGCTCTGAGAGACCATACAGATGTCATAGTGATCAAGGCTGAGGAAACGGCGTTCAACGCTCCTAGAGGCTTTGCCCTACCCGGTAGTCGGCACGCCTGATGTGTATGCTCCTGAACGAGATATCAGATCTCGAGGAGACTTCATGTGAACAAGCCATTCTGGCGATCCATAAAAAGTGTAGCACAATTAATCGATGCCTACATCCCAACCTTTCCCATCCTAACCAACTCATCAATTAACCCCCAACAAATCCGGCAACTCAATCAACTCCCTCTGCATCTCACTACACATCTCCAAAAACTCCCTCTTCTCCATCTCCGTCGCAAACTCAATCTTCGCCCCGCTGATAACCTTCCCCTTGTCCACACTCTTCCCAGCCCCCACTTTCTCCTTACCTTTCCCTGTAACAGAAGCAGTGGTAGCTTCCGCAAAACTGTCCTTCCTCATCGCGCGATCACCCCGATCAATCGGTACTCTCAGCCCTTTGATCTTCACCTCTCTGTCCCCACCGTCTTTCACTTTGATAGGGTTGACGGAGGAGTTGAGGTAGAAGGCTAAGTAGCCGTTTCGGAAGTCGGCGGAGAAATGGATGAGGGCGATGATGGCGCCTGTGTCGTTATCTTCCCATATGCGGAGGTTCTCCAGGCCGCACATTTGCTCGGCGTAGGAGAAGGATTTGGAGAGGCCTTCGTGGATGCGCATTGTTTTCTCTGTGCGGAATGTCGCAAGGAGGATGCGGCCCATTAGTTCGTTTTGGAAGAGTGCGGCCGCTGAATACGCAGTTAGTCATCGTCCTCTTTCTTAGATGCTGTTTCAGTAGTCTACCTTGTGGTGAGTCAAAGACGTAGTTGACCCAGCTTGTCTTTTCTACACGCACTGGCCGATTGCCGTGCTTGACGTCGTGAAATATGAGCTCGCAGAGGACTGTGATGGAGGCTTTGGCGGGGTTGAAGTAGCTGGAGTACGGTATGTACATCTGGTCGTCTTCCATACGTAGCTCCACGCGGGTGGTGTTGTCGTCGCTAAACGCCCATACGGATGTCACGACGCGCACTGTCTTCGTCTCAGAGTCGGTTACGCGTTTCCGTACTACGGCGATCCTGCACTCTTCGGAAGCCTGAATCATTTCGACGTCTCTGGGGTCGTCCTGGTTTATCCGGTGCGAGTATTCGACGAGCGAACCGCGACTTTCTGTAGTTAGCATTGCTAAACACGTACACTAAGAAGAACGGACTGAGAGCAAAGTCGGCTTACACATCACATAGAATCGCTGAGTTACGGAAAGCTTCCTTCTCGAAGGCGGCTTTTTGACTGGTAGTGGTTGAACTTCGGTGAAGTTTCATAATCTCTGGTTGCAACGAAGGATAAGGGCTTAACATGGCATGCGATGTTTGAGTAGGTGTTCTTTCGAGTTCATAGAGTGAGCCGAGCTTCATAGCCGGAGGTGGGAGTAGCGTATGATGCCGATTGTCAGCCTTTCGGCCAGGCTCGCATACTTCCGGTGTCCTTGGAAGAGGTGATGTTTTCTTGGTCGATGTCGAAAACTGTCCGCTCAGTCGAGAGTCAGGTAGTAACGAAGATGGACTTTGCCAACCGACTGAGCTGGTACCAGCGTCAGAAGATGCATAGCTACTGCTGGAGTATCGCAAAGATGAGCCGCCAAAGCTAAATTCCGACACACGTTTTTGAGCGGGTGAGGATGTTCTTGAGGCGGACACGACATCCGCCGGAGATGTCGGAACAGGAGCATCATCGTTGAATCTGACTATAGAGGACTGTTCGTGGGACTTTGGGCGCTGCGGGATCCGTGGCAAAGATATTTCGATATTTTGTGACCTGGGTGGAGATTCTGGGGGAGATAAAGCATGATACATCTGGCTCAATGGGTCGGCGTTTTCGGTGGTCGGTGAACGCGCAGGGTTCTTTGCTGGTACGGGTGGCACATGTGAAGTTTCTGGTGCAATCATTAGGTCCTCTACCATACGATGTACTTCGTCAAGCTGCTGATCGATGCTTCCAGCCAAGTGGTTCATGTTATCGATTCGCTTTGCCATTGGTATGACGGTGCTGTCCATACGAGCCATAGACTTGCTGCACCATGGTCAGTAGATGTGTGACATGGATTTGACAGCACTAGCCTTTGCAATGCTTCCGTCAACTCATCGATAGAGTTCGTATGTGTCTGTAAGATCTCTTTCAGATCTGCGAGATTTCCACCATCGGGAGTCCAGATCATCGTCCTGTATGAGGCTAATACCAGATCGCTCCACGAGCGCTCGATTGCGAACCCTCCAACTGTGCGGTGCTTCTTGATGACTTGGTATTGGTCGATCAGCGAGTCAAGATCATCTACTGTCCGTTGACAAGACCTTAGGATGGTGCCAACGCCATCTTTTATTTCCTGGTCAGTGTCCTGTAACAACTGCCGCACGGACTCCGTGTGCAGCGTCTCTGCCAACGATGCCAGTGATTTTGCGAGGCTGCCAATCTCCGTCTCAACATATTGAAGCTCCACTGGTGCATTCTTTTGGCAAGCAGAAAAGGTGCGTCCAATCTTCCAAGCCTTCTGCGATAGCACCAAGATGTCCCCAATGTTGGGGACGGTCATGGTGGCGGACGATGACGGGTCATGCACAAAGTTGAGCAATCAGCCAGGTAGTAAGACAGCGCACGGATGGGGATGTTGATAGCAATTCGAAGTGTCCATAAGGTCTAGAGAATAGGCAGAGAACATCCGGGGGAGCTCTCGATATACTGTGGACACGGGAGGCGTGGGGGCTATGCAATGAGGATTCGCAGCACAAACTAGAGCAGGCCCAGCGCCGTGCGCCTGGGATATAAGACTCCATAACGACTGCCCGCGTGTATTGTGGGGACCGGTGGCCGGGTGTTCCAGTTCGCAGAGGTTGAGAATGGAGGAGCATGGGTCGCGATGCTCGACCGGGATACCACGTGGGTCAGGTAGCGTCTCGCCATTGGCGTCAACCGCACAACCGGCATTTGCCCCGCGTAGCTGTCAATACCTGCCAACCGGCGCTGGGCTCAATGAGGACCGACATGCGCGCAAGCTTAGACTCCGCAAGTTCCAGCAATTGTGACACGCATGCGCAAGACGAATGTGTTTGGTGCAAAAAGCGGGCTACCACTCGGACCGGGCAGCCATGGCACCGGCCGTCCTGCAGGGTACCGTCAATTCGTATTAAGACTTTGGTATACATGTACAAATCCCGCCTTCTGTGGGATACGTTTTGCCGACTTCCGTGCAACGTGATAGAGTAGAGGAATTTTCGAACACATGGTACTTGTATAGCCCATCTTCCCGACCATCACGGTCCAAATCATACCCGAGAATCCATGCGCCTAGAGTGTGTAGTATTGTACAATGAATCGCAAATCGTTGTTGTCATATCGTCGTTTGGTTCTTATGCGAGGGGAGAGAAAAGACTAGAGGGGTCAGCGAAGTTCCCCAATGTACATCGTCCATGATGGAGCGATATTTTGAGGAAGAGGTTCAGAACAGAAGCGAGCGACTGAAAGAGCAGAAAGACCGTAATCCCCGTAGATGCCTTGGTCTTCCACTGACACTGCTAGGCTGGCCCGTTATGGCTTTGGTGTAATCTTGTAGGAACAAGATCACAGTCTCTTTCTCATAGTCTGCTTCCAGGCTTCGGAAGTCGCCAGGCTGAATTCCACAGCCGGCGAAGTTCTTCCCCATTGTGAAGAGCGACGTCGTGCTGGTATAGGAATGGCGGAAATAGGCGGTGTACTCACCGGATGAGGGAAGGCTTAGGCTCGCTTCGGGAGTATCCGAGGTATAGGATCAAAGGCAGGTAGCCGTAGTGAATAGCAACGCGGGAGACATCGATGATGCGCGCGATGCGCTCCTGTATTGAGTCAACGGAAGCCCGATCTACATGTACTTGACGTATTGACGGACCTTGGACTCTTCTGACAGCTGGTACATATTGAGTATGTAGTCGGCCTGGGGTTGAGGTGGTCGAGTTGTATGCGGTAATGGGTGAAGGCGGGCCCAGCGAACGAAGTTGCGATGATGCGTAAAGCTCAAAGTTTTGGGATTAGCCGCATGCGTGTTAGCGCAAGCTCAGACTGGAGCTCCAATATCTTCGAGACGCCTTCACTTCGTTCCTGAACACCAATTCCCATTCACGACGCCTCACGACCCCAACTAAATCGTCCGGATTTCTATTGCGACCCAGGATCCAGAGTTTCGAGCCTATAGACAGCAGCCCTTCAACATGTCGGCCCCGAGTGCGCGTCACTGGTAAGTTGCAGCATTCGGAGTAGCGAACAAGTAGCGAACATGAACTCACGAATGCGCAGGGAACAGAATAAAGAAGCCACAGTCTACGTCGGAAACCTTCATGAGCGCATCACGCCCCGCATCCTTCACGAGCTGATGCTCAACGCCGGCCGAGTACGAAATGTCAACATGCCCGTCGATCGCGTCAACGGCCAACATCAAGGGTTCGGTTTCGTCGAGTTCCACACGGAAGCAGAGGCAGATTACGCGCCCAAGATCATGAACAACGTTGCGCTATACGGAAGTCGGATACGTGTCAACAAGGCGTCCGCAGATAAGCAGAAGAATGTTGAGATTGGCGCAGAGCTGTTCATTGGTAACCTTGATCCTGGAGTGGATGAAAAGACACTGTACGATACATTTGGCCGCTTCGGACCGTTGGTGAATGCGCCAAAGGTCGCGCGCGACGACATCACGCAAGCATCCAAGGGATACGGGTTCATCTCCTACGGCGACTTCGAATCCTCAGATGCGGCTATCGCGAGCATGCACAACCAGTACATCATGAGCAAGCAGATCACGGTTCAATACGCATACAAGAAAGACGGAAAGGGTGAGCGGCACGGAGACGAAGCGGAGCGTATGCTCGCGAAACAGGCCAAGGCCCACGGAGTTGCGCCTGCTGTGCAACCTCTGCCCGCACATCTTTTCCAACTTCCACCAGGTGCTGCACCGAGTGGACCAGCCATGGGCATGGATGGACGTGGCATGCCCGGCGCACCAAGCGGACCTGGAGCAGGATATGGACCCCCTGGCGGACCTCCCGGCGGACCTCCTGGTTACGCTCCCAACGGTCCTGGAGGCTATGGCCGACCTCCTTCCGCAGCTCCAGTTGGCCATCCAGGTCTTCCACCACCCCCATCTGGCTTGCCTGCTCGCCCACCAAGCGGCGCTCCGACGAACTTCTTCCCTCCTCCGCCCGGCTTCAACGGCCCACCGCCAGCCTTCGGCGGTCCCCCAGGTTTCGGAGGGCCTCCCGGCTACGCTCAGGCACCGAGGTAGAGAGAAGAGACGCGAAGGGATCAATGACAATCACGTTGAATATGGGCGTTGTAGCTTGAGCAGTCTCCAAGATGCTAGAACCAGTACTTCAGCGAGCCAGGGGATCAGGCCTGCCGGTATAATAGCCGTCCGCAGAAATCGCGGAAGTCATGGCCTTTGATCGACATGAAGCAGCATGAGACGATAGCGTCACGATTGGGAGGCATGATGTTCACCAGGCTTCGAGTCGATTAAGGGAAAACATCAAAAGTGTATTCGAAAAGGCGCTGAACGGTCAGCGGAAGAAAGACGCAGGACTCGGAAAAATAGAGGACACAGGATATCTGGCGTCCAAATCCGTACTCGCAGAAAGATACCCGCCAAGAGCATGTCAGACAGAGATAGGCCACTGAAGGCAACAAAGGAAATGTAGTAATGTGTCCAAACCCCATACAAAAGAAAGAATTACGAAAGAGCCCTGTAAATGAAAACCGCCATTGAACCCAGTCGTTGCAATTATGAGAAGCTGACAAACTTGGGGTCACGGGGTATCCCATCTGCTCCAATGTTGTTCTTCTTGAACCTCTCCTGCATGTATATTCTGCGTGCCTCGTCGAAGTCGCAGCCGCGTCTCTTCATAATGCGCATAACCTCCTTCTTCCCCGCGTCGTCCAAGCCTTGGCGCGAGTCGCCGGCTTCCACGTTCCCACTCAGGTCAAACGCTGAGGACGAAAGGCCGGCTTCGATGTCGTCGCGGAACGAGGATGGGAGGCGCGTGTAGATGGGTCCGGGGATAGGCAGAAGGTGTATCCAGCGGTGCCGGGTGAAATAGGCAGCTGCGCAGTGTTAGTGTGGCGCAGGAGGTGTTCACTAAGGCAACATACCTGTCGCAATCACCAGAACGAAGAGCGAGACGGAGTAGAGGATGTAGGCCATGATGAAGGTTGCTTCCGAGGCTGCACGAGAGGTCTATAGCGTATGCGACAGAGCGGAGGTCTTCGGGAGTGCGGGAGGGAGCTGCTCGGCGCGACAAAGGAGTTGGTGATGAATACAAAAGAAACGGATGTGAAGTAAATTCAGCGGTAGTGTGGAGATGAGCGCCTCTGAAGCCAAGGCATTAGGGGAGGTTGATGCAAGACAACGATGGTTTGTAACCACGGAGTCGCGGACAAGAACGCTCGGCTGCACCGCCTCACGTCGCGTTCATGCATCGTCACTTCCGCTCCGCTCTTGGCGTCGGCGCGCATGTTGATCCATCCCCGAAACACGCACTAAGCGCATGCGGTAATGCAGACGAGGGCCCTCGATTCAATATTGGCGAACTTTCCCAACGTCAAGCAATCGACATCGTCCGTATCCACATTCCATACAGACACAATGGCCACCACTATCTCGCACGATCTTGCCTGGGAGGTTACCAGTGAGTGAAAGACTGGGACGCGCATTGGGAGGGACTGGGGTTGACATATGGCAGAGGGACGCAGCTCCACGCTCGTCAAGAGGGCGAACGGTGTCCAGTTCTCGCGCGATCCTCTTAACCTGAGGAACGTCTACAGCCGCAAGGTATGCATGGAGATTGGATTCCTGGGATCAGTTGACTAATTCTGCTCAGAACGAGGGCTCCATTGCCAACAAGGTACGATTACCAGGAACCACGAATGCGCCGCGCGCACATGCGAACCAACACAAGACACGGTATTGACAACGTTGGAATAGGCTATCGGTGTTATTCCCGGCCCCGAGGGTGGTGTCACTCTTCTCATCAAGAAGGCCGACAAGCACCACCAGCCCGCATCTGCCATCCAGACCACCACCTTCGGCCCCAGCAGGTCCACCCGCAAGTACGTCTTCTCCAAGCCACGGCTGTCCTCGCTCGACTGCGCCGATACTGCATATCAAAGACCGCTCGCTGACCAACGTAGGACATACTCCGCCATCGTCAACTCCACCACCAAGCGCAACTACCGCCCCGACCTCCGCCAGGACGCCGTCGCTAAGGCCTCCGCCATCCGCAAGAGCCAGAGGCCCGTCAAGGAGTCCAAGCCCACCAAGGCCAGGGGTGCCAAGGCTCAGGCCGCTGCCACCGAGGCATAGATCATGAAATACTGAAGAGCGTGGTGCATGTGAATTGGTTCGGAGTTTTACTTCATTCGGTTCATCATCTTCTGTGGGATTCGGAGCTCATGAAAGAAAATGAGCATGGGTTGCATGAACGAATAAAGCTAGAGTCTTCACGACGAATCGACTCGGCGAGAAATGAATATGCTTCGAAAACCAAATCCTGGTGTGCACAATGCCCTCGTGATGGGTGTGGCGTTATGGATGTTTTCCAAGTGTCACCAAGATGTTGCATGTCCGTGACGCCAGATCGCTCACATGCACAAAGCCCCCTGAGTGTACTTTCAACACAACATGCAGTCGCATTTCAATGTCTGTGGAGACTAAGTGTGACTTGTGGTATAGATGCGTAAGCACGAAATATTTCCAGTGAGCCAGTATATAGAACGCAGGGTGTGCGAACATGGCCTTTCTAGGATGAGCATGGACAAAGGGATTCAATCAATGAGGAAAGTGACAGCTAGGCGTGATAGAACAGAATGCGCTTTTGGTCAGTGAGTACACATAGAATACCCAAGTTTCGATTCGAGCGAGTCTTTACGTGTTGGCATAGTGCCAGCTGATACATACCGTGATCTCGGGCCATGGTTTTGTACTTAAGTATACCAATTCGGACAGTGTTAATGGGTTCTGGATGATTGCAGGAGCTTATGTAAGCAGCCTTGATCTATTCGCCTGCCATGTGCCGTAACTAAAATAGCCCCTCCAGGGCTGGCTAGCCGCCCGCACATGAGTTTGCAGCACGCACAACTTTTGCCTGGCCAGGTGATAACGCAGCAAGAGGTCGAAGCGGCAGCCGTTTCTGCGCAGTCAACAATAATGCAAATATAGATTGTGTTGTTTTCCGTTTTCCCATCGAATCACCTACTCAACCATCTCGGTTGCTCAATCTTCAGTAGTATAGTGGTCAGTATTTCCGCTTGTCATCTTCACAGACAACTCGCGGGAGACCGGGGTTCAATTCCCCGCTGGAGAGCATTCCATGCATTCTTTTTTTGCTTCGGGTGGGCTTCTGCACCATGGCCATGAAAGTCAATTCGGGGGGAAACTCGTGACGATGTTTTTTGCCCCGAGTAAGTAATGCACAATACCAAACTTTATAAGCCTGCAATAATGCCAGTAACTTCGTATGCGAGTAATAAGTTATAAGAAGGAACGTAAAGATTTTCACGATATGTACAAAAGTCTACTCTATCTTGACAGAAATCTACTCCATCGTTGCCGTAGTCCGTCGTCGCTTTCTGCTCCGTTGCGTGGGTGGGGACGGATTAGCAACGACCGTTTTATCGAGCGCTTCTTGAATCTTCCTTGCAGACCAGCCGTCGTCGGTTGGCGTCCAGCTCCTCAGAAAGGAGGCTGAGCCAGCATGCCAGATAAGCTGTTTCACGGTGCCCGGCGGTGCGACTAGTAAAATTTGGCATCTTCCCTTTGACACCATGCGAATTCGCGTCGCTACACGCTTTACGAACGTACTCATGCATGGAAGTGCATAACCCGGTCCGCCATGGTATGTGGGACTGGAATTGCAGTCCATGACTATTGTTGTGAGATGTGTAATAGGATATTGAAGCAGCGCTTCCCGCCAACCATCAAGTTCTCTTGCAAGTTTCGGCTCCTCCTCTGTATACTCCAGCCAATTGCTCTCGGTACATTTGAACAGTTTCTGGTTCTCGGAGAACAGTTTCAACCTGATCTTCTTCGGCAATCTAGCTGGACTCTGTGGGGCTATCGCATCCTTGATCGTGTCTGTTGTTTGCTGGCTCTTGTGATTCGTGAGCAAGCCCGATAGTGCAGCATGCGTCTGGAACGTGACGCTTCGCTCTCGGAGTATTGTGGATATGGCTTCCTCACGAATCGCTTTGGAACAGCCGAGTAGTGGGATTGGCACCGTTTCGGTAATTGCATGGTACACGATCGTGGTGTCGGTGAGTGCATATGACCAGATGGCCTCGCGCAGTTCCACTGCTAGAATCGAAAGTGTTCCGAGTGGATTCTGTCCTGACTCCATGTCTATTCTGGACGAATGGTGTTTGTAGTGGTTTCCCCAACGTTGCTCAGGTGGGACCAGGTTCTTTGTTCGACTACGCCGTCACCGTGCAGTCGTTCACGCCAACTCTTTCGGGAAAGTTCAAGTTTAAGCTCAACGCCGCAAGATGCTGTCCAAATCCACTCGTGTCGCGAAAGGGCTATGTGTGGCTGAAGAGTGAAAAGCTGTTGAGGGGGAGAGCCGAGCAAGCGGAACGCTGCGGGCCGCGGGCGTGGACCAATCCAGCGATGGTCATGCACTAGCCGCTAGCGAATCGCCCGTCTTCACCTAGGCAGTCGCGATGTTCAGCAGTTGCATACACCCTTGACCCGAGATCTCCCCTTATCAGTATACTTTGAGCCTGGCGATCGATCCGATCGCCTCTGCGATGGGAGTTTTTCGTGACGAACGCACACGCAGGGATGGGCCGGGTATCACAAAGCCCTTGTCTCACAGATCCATCAAACTGCCCAATTGCCGAGCGGCCTCGTCCATACACGTTGCCCGTACAGGGCCTCGCCTGGCCGGTCAAACGCGGCCGCATTCTCGCTGAAGCGCTACGCATGGCAGCATATTTTGACGAGCTGGCGCAGAGCATACCTTGCAGGCGGGCCGTTTGTCGCGTAGCGATTGGCTATACAATAGCCCTTCTCAGAAGCGACTTCATCCTGATTAACGGTCTAGCTCCCAGCGGCAGCTAGTGGCTTACCGCATGTTTCCTAGGACTGCCGTCTGATCCACCGCTGCTCTCACTAGATTGCCAGTACAAGGCTGAGTGCTGCCTCAATTCCAGCTCTCCGTCTACCGGCTTGTCCACTGGTACGCGCTATAACCACCATACAACAGCATGTCGTGGACTCCGGTGGACTTCAGCTGTGTCCGCTACTCGGCGGTAGAGGGCACACACTACTTTCATGACTCCGCCTTTCCTTCCTCGATACAGTTCTTGCTGTCCGGTCGCTGGGAGCCTTGGGACGTCAGCTACGTGAAGTAGTACGTCGCGCGTCTTCTCCAGATATCACCCGTAGTGAGACTAACGTATCGAAGCAAGGCTCAAGATCCGGATGTCCGACGCGTTGCAGAAGAAGCAGAGTTGCGACTTATCCGGGATCCTTACTCTGGATACATTCCATGGCCGTCTCCACCTCCCTCTGCTACAGGGCCTCCACCACTAGCTCCCATATACGGCCAGGCTCCATCACAACCGATTGTCACCCATACTACGGTAGCAGGTCTCATGACACCTTCACCGTCAACGGTGGTTGAGAATGCTCTCCTCGGCTCGCCACGCGACCATAGTACGCCTTCGTCAGCAACGACAGCAACCGTGTATGCTTCCCCGTACGCATTTCAAGCTGCGGCGCCAACTGGCGCCACCCAAATACCGCCAGAATCGACTCCCACTGTCCAAGCAGCTCCTGAAAACAATATGCGCCCATCTTCGCAGTACATCGATCCCGCCTTACATGATCCGACACCAAACCAAGCAGCACCTCTACCAGCCATCCTTTCGAGAACGAGAGAGACGAAGATTCTGCTTTCCATTGACGGTGACGGTATCCGGGGCTTATCTGCTCTCCTTTTAGTTGAATCGCTCGTCAATGCGATTTGCGTCAAAGTCGGGCAGCGCTTAGACAGCCACCAGATTTTCGACTTGACAGGTGGCAGTTCTCTTGGCGGTATAATAGCCATCATGCTATGTCGATTGCGCATGCAAGCCCACAGAGCAAGAGAAGCTTACAAGCAGATCGCCAAACAAGTGTTCGACAATAAAAGGGCCTACTTCAGATATCTCGACCCTCATGCACAGATACAGGAGCCTGACGACAGCGCGTTAGAGAACGAAATCAAGAGCGTGGTTCAGCAGGAGCTAGGCAACCCGGACGAAGTACTCCTAGATGGACGGCCCGACTCGGGCGACGTGTGAGTAAAGCCTATTCATCCGCGACGTACATACTGACTCGATAAAGTTTCGCAATTACGACACAAATGGATATCGGTACGTACTGGAGTGAGAAGCGTGGTAAAATTCACTAACGAATTGAAGGCACGAACAAAGCTGCTCTTATCCGATCATACCAAACACGGCGCATAACTGGACCGGACTTGGAACCGAACATGCCCATATGGCAAGCGATGAAGGCGACCTCAGCAGCCCCACGATACGTGCAATCCGAGCCAGGAGTTCCGCAACGCTTCGTAATCGAGAAAGGTCTCGTTGATCATGGGACTACAAAGAACAACCCAGTTCGCGACATCCTGTATGAATGTAGGAAGCTGTTCCGATATGCGAACGACATGATGATCATTGTCTCGGTCGGGACGGGCGTCGGCCTGAATCGCAAAAACGAGATTCCCGAAATGGCGAACAGCGTTGAGGATAGGAAGGCTGAAGCAAGATCGTGGGGTGATAGATTTGAGGCCGAACATGCTGCGTTGATGGAGCGCAACTGGATGAAGTACTTTCGGTTTGATGTGACGGGTTTAGAGGATGTGCCACTGGAGGAGTGGAGTCACGAAGAACTGATTAAGGAGAAGACTTCGGCATACCTCGCCCAGCCAGAGGTTGGACAGAAGTTCTATGCGTGTGTTGATGCGATAACGGCGCTGCTGTTGAGCCCGCAGGGGAGGTAGTCAGACAGGGCAACGGTAAATATGGCACAGCTGGTGGACGATAGTCGGTCGCAAAAGTGCTCCTAATAGTAATTCGATCCCCATGAGGTACGTGTCGGGTTTTACCCATCTATGCCGCGAATTACCACTCTCTGATCGGTGTTGCCAGGTCGCGTGCGCCTAGCGCGCCTGCCGTCCATTCGTGGGCCCGTCCACCACGTGTCGACATCCTTTCACACTCATCTCCTAAACAACTGCTTGGGTGCATGACATCACGCAAACCGGCATCAAACTCCGCGCCAGGCACTCTGCATGTATCGACTGTATGAGCAGGATC